ATTAATATTTATGTTTTCTTGATGTGTCAATGAATACTAAGTGGTGTGAGTGGCTGAGATGGAACAGAAAAGAAAATTGTTCATTTTAAACGGCGTAGTCAGATCTTGTCACTTAATTCTAAATTGCATTGAAACATAATGCACTAAATCCCTCTGCAAATTAATTTAATCTCTAAAGGTAAGGCAATTTCTTTGATATTAACATACTTTCTACTTGCTGTGCAAACACAACAGTGAAATAACAAAACACTATGATGCTTTCAACTTTTCTGTTTATCTGAGCAATGAAACTTCTGGCTCAACTAGTCAGTGTTTTTTTTTATTTTTTATTATTATTATTGTTTTCCTCTTTTATGACCTAACTTCAAAAAAAAAAAAAAAGTAAAGAAAAAAAATTCCTAGAGACATCAGTAGTATTGGCAAACCGATGACATTAAAGTAATATTAAGAAAATACTATCTTTGTTGTTTCTACATTAATTTGAAGATTGAATGTGAAATTATTGCAATATAAAAGTATATTTAAAAACTTTAATGTTAGGTGAACAGCACTAACAATGTCAGTAGTTTTATATCAGGAGCGGAGGTGCATTTGTGTGCATTTGATTTTGTGATCTCATTGAAATGGAGAGAGTGGTTAAAGGCTGTGCATGAGGGAACATTTCTATATATTAGGATCCACCACTAATTACTACCACAGCATAGACAGAGAACAACTTCAAATTCCAACGCTGACATGGCAACTCATCAGGCTAACACACTGTAATGAAATAAAAACTCCTGCTCAACAATTCCTTTGTATTACACAAATCCCTGTCACAAGTTTTTTTTTTCTTTTCATTTTTAACAAAAGAAAGACTCTTATTGAGTGGTGGGGACATAATTGGCCATGACAAAAAGCGCTGTCCTCACCTGAAATGTGTTTGTGTTTTTATCTGTTTTTTAATGTACATTTTTCATTCAGCGAGAATAGGTATGCAAATTATATTGGTAGTTTTTAAAACAACCCACACAGGCTGGCTCATTTGTCTGAAATTGCTCTGAGCTATGTTATGCTGCTCTGATTGTTAAAGTTTCACCCCAGTAGCCAATTAGTGAATGTCTAATCTAAGCTCAAATTAATTGTACTCATCTGCTATTGTGTGGACACCTTTAGCCACGCCTCTGTTGGTGCCGCTAATGGTGCACAAATTATACACAGCAGCTTTAAAAATTACAATTATGTTTCAACTTCACTTTTGTTAGAGTTTGAATTATTATTTTTTTTTTAATTATTATTGTTACTTGAATCATATTTTTTTTTAGTAATTAATTTCATCTCTCTCCGATTTAAAAAAAAAAGAGTATTACATCTGCAATCTACGGAAGTTCTAAGCGGCCATGCATTATTTTTTTTTCCTTCTTGTTTTCTCGTTATAACGACTTATTTTCTCGTTATATCGACATAATGATTGAGTTTGTCCTTGACTCTGCATGAAAAATTAATGATGAATCAGTCCAACTTTCATCTGCATAGAGGAGGTGTTGACTGAGAACAGGTCTCGTGTTACGCTCGTTATTACTACCAGTTCATTGTCTCAGCTCTGTTCAGACTTTAATGCTGGATTAAATTAAAGGTAGTTTTTAGTTTTTTTCACAAACTAGTTTTGTGTCTGCTTGCAGGGAAATCAAGGGTTACTGTCTTGATCTCTCTCCCTCCTACTCTTTCATTTTTGTGTGGAGGGTTTTGTACTTTGTGAACAGCGTTGCATTTAATGGTACACAGATTAAGGGGTGCTCACAAGCAGCACTATTATATTTATTTATTCTTTTCTCCTTTTAAATGCAAGTGAGCCAAAGAGATTTCAGCCAGGAAGATGTGGCCCTTCCAGTGCTTTTTTGCTCTCTGTGTGGGCTGTTAAGGTTAATTTCCCCAATCTCCATGCACATTTTCATCCAGCTCTCCTGGGGCAAAGTGTTCCTTTCAAACTTTCACAATTATTTCTGATATATTGTATTAGAGAGGGGAAGTGAATTGATTTAGGGAGATGGGAAGCTGGAATTATTTGATGCCTGCGATGTGACCCATAAGTCAGTGCTGTTATTTGGAGCTCTGGCATTATTCTTTCTGCAATTTAACTTATTATAGTTAGGTGTTCAATTTGCCAAGCAGCTGTTATGGTATTACAGTTTGTGCATTATTCAGAAGAGGAGAATAACAGCCCTGTGCAGTTGGCTAAAATGAAAACATTCGCTGCTTGGTTTTTATTTCTGACTCTTGAACTGTCATTTTTGCAGTATAATTCCTGTTATTTTCTTTCTCTGGAGCTTTTTGTGAATTTACTGTTGCTCTTCACCATTTATTCTGCTGTGTGTGTTGATGTTCAAACTTCTGCAGTATATATTACGTCTAACTTCATGGGAATATGACATCTCCGCTCAAAGACCGGTATAGCTGTTCAACACCATATACAGTACATATTTTGTTTTGAATGTTGGTGTGATATGAATGACCATGACTGCATTGGTCAGCCAGCTGCTGGACCAGCATGGACTTTACAGTGGTGTATGATATGCACTAACAGCAGAATAATTGCACTTTACGCTTCATTAGACTTTTTCATAATGGGTGATTCTACAGTTAGGTGCAGCTTTAGCTGCTTTAAGTATTGAAAAATGAAGCATCATCAAACTGTATTTCATTTATGTGCCTGAGTAAAATTTAGAATTTTATATATATATATATCATCAATAGCGCAATATTGCGGTTATCGCGACAGCCCTATCCTCGATATCTTGGATCTCTGATACCAGCGTCAAGAATAGATCAAATACCTCCCTTTCAAAACCCTCTTTTCATGATTTAGAGATCTCGCTGTGGATGAATGGAGGTTTCCAGTTCTGTCTTCAGTTTAAATTGCGCTCAGGGGTCCTTCACCTCATGCACACAACAGTTATCTTCAAACTCATTGACGTCCAGGTCACGTGTCTGCCAGCAGTGTTTGGCAATACCAGTTTGATTGCCAAGAACATGCCTACAGCTCCTCCTCGCCAGTCCCTCTGCTTTGATGACTCAAGAAGCCTGGTGCTAAAAGTTGGAGGCGGAGGGCTGGAGACTCACCTTGGGGAATATCTTCCATCTCTGCCTCATCGTCAATAGCGCAATATTGCGGTTATCGCGACAGCGCTATCCTCAATATCTTGGATCTCTGATACCAGCATCAAGAATAGATCAAATACCTCCCTTTCAAAACCCTCTTTTCATGATTTAGAGATCTCGCTGTGGATGAATGGAGGTTTCCAGTTCTGTCTTCAGTTTAAATTGCGCTCAGGGGTCCTTCACCTCATGCACACAACAGTTATCTTCAAACTCATTGACGTCCAGGTCACGTGTCCGCCAGCAGTGTTTGGCAATAGCAGTTTGATTGCCAAGAACATGCCTACAGCTCCTCCTCGCCAGTCCCTCTGCTTTGATGACTCAAGAAGCCTGGTGCTAAAAGTTGGAGGCGGAGGGCTGGAGACTCACCTTGGGGAATATCTTCCATCTCTGCCTCATTGGATCAAGAACATCACCCATCTCACGTTCTTAGCCCCTTGACATGGATGCAGTTACAGCAAGGGGAAAAATAAATAGATAACAAATCTGCCCCTGGGTTGTTTTTGCTTAACTGTGTGTTTGAAAGTGAATGACAAGGTTCAACAGAAATAACGATTCCTCATCATGAGCGCCGATGTTCCTCACTTATTCAACTTTTTTGGAAATTGATCCGTTATGGTGGCGCATAAAAAGGGTGTGCACCTGTTTGTTGGGGATGTTTTTTAGGGTTTAATCATTATAGGAAAGTTTTGTGTAATCCTAGAGAAGTGAATGGAAGGATTAATGTCTCTCTTTCATGCATGAAATGAGAGTTTTCCTCTCACCAGCCTCAGCAGACAGCCCAGCTCTCTTTCTCTTATGTCTTTTGATAGGTTACTGGCATCTAATAAATTAAATGGCCTTTGGTTCATCCTCTAAAATACCGATTCCTGTTCAAATCTTCCTTCCTGTAGGCGAAAAGAAACAAATTCTGCCCATCTTATCAAGCAGTCTTTAGTAAAATCAGTGGCAGCCCACAAAGCAAATATTTCCGTTGGTTAATTTGTTTGAAGATTGAAGAGCAGACCTTTTTTCTATTTTGGAGAGAAATTGATGGCATTATCGCTGCAATGTGATGTGCAGCTGTAGCTTTGATAGGCTTGATCGTAAGAGTTTTGAGCATCTTCAGAATATTAGTGTTCAAGATTTGGTTGTGTTCATCATAATGAAATCTAAATTGCCCCCTCTATTTTCATGTTTCCCATTTCAGTGATTGAACACAAAAAGGCTGATGAATCACAACTGTTGATCTCTTATTTGGAGACAAAAACCACTTTGTCTTTATCTAAGTTGCATTAAAAAGATGAAAGCAGTGAATATGAGCACATTCATAATGGGGGCCTCACAATAATCATGATTTACTTTCGTAACGCTGAGTTATGTGGCTATTTCATTGAATGGCTTATTCAAAAGCGCATTGAATTACTGTCTTGTAAAGGTACTGTGGGTCTGTGCTTGAAAAATATGAGTTTTCAAGGCCAATGATGATATCTAGAGAACATTTAGGTCACAGAAGGTGTGTGTGTGTGTGTGTGTGTGTGTGTATTCAGCTATATGTTTTCATTATTATATAATATTTTTGAAGTATACACTACTGTCCTTTCTTTAAAAATGTTTTTATGATTACCAATGCTGTATTTATTTGAGCAAAAATACAGAAAAAAAACTATCTATAAATGTAAATGTAATGTAAAATCTATACACATTTCAGTATACTGTATATTATAATATTGAATGTTGATCATGGCTAGAATAACTCTTTTTTTTTCGTTCTTTTCAGTGAATAAATATGCACTTGTTTTGAAAAAACAACAATAACGTCTTCTATCTTTGAACACCGAGTAATGATGGTGACATTACAACTCGTGTCATGTTCCACTGAACAGGGCAGCTTGTTCCTGAGGAGCTCTGTGAAGATGAACTGCCCCCTAAAGAGGTGTCCTGTGTGATGGCGTGTTCAGGTGACTGTGTGCTCAGCTCATGGTCTGATTGGTCCTCATGCTCCCACAGCTGCTCCAGTAAAAACTCAGAGGGCAGACAAAGCCGCACACGGACCATATTAGGCTTACCGGGAGAAGGTCAGTTGACTTTCATCTTCCACAGAAATTGGATAATAATGTTTTAACAAATGTCTGACCAATTCATTTTAATTAAAGCATGCAAATTCACAATGGAACATGGTGTTGGAGTCTGGCCTGCATGTGTCATTTCGTAACATTCCAGTCTCTCTGCACCTTCCTATCTATTACAATAAAACATGTTTATAAAATGAAAAAACAAACAGATAATTTAATGCTGTGATATTGATTTGACAAGGGAAGTAATTTACTCTTAATATCACTCTGAGGGTGACATAATACCATTAATCAGGTTGTTTTTGTGAGCAGAAGAGCAATTCTGCATTCTGTATATTTGTTTCAGAGGAGCAGTGATAGAAATGTGTTCACAGGGTCTCATTTTTCTGTCTGCCTACGTACAGCTGTGGGCTTTTCCAATCACACACAGTCCTTCTGGAATGACAGAAAGAGCTGTGTAATTAAGACTTAAATATACCTTTGTCTGGAGACTACTTCCGCCCCCTCTGCCGTCACACACACATGAGTAATGGCTCTTACATACATTTCTCTCCATACATCTGGAAAATGGAAATAAAGCACCAGCCTCCTCTACACACCTTCCACAGAGTGTCATTAATCAGACAAGCCCTTATTAATATTCAGTCGGTCTACGTTACGCACATAATGAGTCCCTGTGTTATGGAAAAAGGCTGAATGTCAATACAATGTCATTAGATTCAAGGGCAGATGGTGTAGAAATTACTTTTAATTATGAAAAGTGCAGAAGTAATTTTGGAGGCTGATCCCAGAGAACTTGTCACAGGTGTTCCTGCATCACGTGTGGGATACACATTCAGTTTCCTGAGTCAGGTGTAGTATGTGATTTCAAGTACAAGAAAGTTTTGAATCAATCTCTGGCTGATACAGATAAGCTGATTTTATGGTTGATGACCGATGCTGCACTATTTTGTGTGGTTTAAAAAAAAGTAATCTTGCCATTGTCATCATGGACTTACCCTCATGTCTTTCCAAACCGGTATGACTTTTCTTCTGTAGAAAAAAAAAAAAAAAAAAAAAAGAATGTTGGTAACCAAATGATTTTACAAACAACTGGAGGAAGAAAAAAAAAAAAAAGTCATGGGGTCTTTGAATACTGTTGTGTGCAACGGGGGGCAAAAAGGTTGAGAACAAACA